CCACGTGATTGGCCCGTATCGTCCAATCCATCGGCGAGGATAAGTTTCGTCTAAATGAGCTCTTACTTCACGCCCGTAGTGAGCAGGACACCCGTCATTTTGCAGCCATAGTCTTCGCCGCAGGTTTAAGGGTACATCTTCTAAAAGAGTTGGAAGCTGTTCCTGAATGAACTCTAAATAACTGTGAGAGTTGAGCATTGGCGGCAGTTCCACAGGTCCCAATATCTGACAATTAAAAATACCGCACCATAAATTTATTTTGTACCGGTACTGCGAACGATCTTCTCTCATTTCGTGAGGGTTGTCTATCTGACAAGATTAGAGATTATGTAAATTAAAATAACCATCACGTTTGCATGATGATTCATCGCTCCAGATTATTTTATTAAAAAAGTTGGGGTTTGATTCATGCATTCGCAACATTTTACGGCAAAATCTAACCCTCGACAGGTAATCTCTTTCTTGTAGAGCCTGAACACGTTGAATGTGGTACGGGTGAAATCGATGGTCTTTTAAAGATTTGTGAACTGTAGTTTTTGGTATTCCCGTGCGTCTTTCCTTCATTCTCACTGAAGTCGATGGATCTAGTTCCACTTCCTCTAACACAACTTCAACATCTACCGTTGCAGGACATCCTGTTTCGCCGCCACGCCTTCCAGGTATGCGATAGTTAACAAGCAAGCAAAAAAGAAAGGTGTAAAAATCACTTACCTTCATATATTTCTCTATGGGTCCGGGCGAATACTTCACGACCCGGATGACGACGATTGGGGTATCGCTCGGCATTGAGTCTTTGAGCAGCTCTGGCATTACAGCAAGCTTCACCGTAAATTAGGTGAATATCCGCATATTCATGCGAACGGAGTCCTCTGTCATAGTATTAATAACACAATGTTCGAAGGGTCCAATTTCACAAAATCCACTTTCACTAATTCCGGTAAGTAACATAAAATAATGTCAGGAGCAGGTAATAATGTAGAGTCATCGCTGGAAAATAAACAATATACGTTGGCGGCCTTCCTGGACATAGAAGGGGCGTTCAACAACGTTAGTCTGGAGGCGATAGAGCAATCACTCAGAAACCTGGGGATTGAGAACTTCCTGGTAAACTGGATATCTACCATGCTTCGTACAAGGATTGTAAACGCCAAGCTAGGCACCAGCGTAGTCATCAGTCATCCAAAGCGGGGGACTCCGCAAGGCGGGGTACTGTCGCCGCTGCTGTGGCTTTGCGTACTAAACAACATTATTCTAAGACTCAACAGGGAAGGGGTCAAAGTTTTTGCGTATGCAGACGATGTAGTGATTATGGTATCCGGATTGTGCATAAATGTGATAAGCGAAATGCTTCAAAGAGCACTGGCGGAATTGGGTTCTTGGGCAAATGGCTGCGGGCTCAACGTTAATCCCTCGAAGACCGAATTACTATTATTCACTACAAGAAAAAAGATTCCTAATTTTAACCTACCTTCCTTGAACGGGCTTACTCTCTCTCTTTCCCCTTACGCTAAGTATTTGGGAGTCATTCTCACACCGAAATTAAACTGCAAAATGAATACAGAGCACCGAGTAAAAAAGGCCTATGGTGCTCTGTATTCCTGCAAGAAAATGCTGGGTAAGAGGTGGGGCCTACGACCTGAACTTATGCTATGTATGTACAAGGCGGTGATTCGCCCAATTATTGCATACGGTTCGCTGGTTTGGTGGAAAGCCGTAGAGATGAACTACATAAGCACAATGTTAGGCAGGGTACAAAGGTCAACCTGCATTGCGATTACTGGGGCGATCAGATCATGTCCAACGGAAGTATTGAATGTCATCTGATTGATCATTCGCGAAAAAACTGACTACATTTGTCCTTCGCTTTTCTTCAAGAAAAACTTCGGTACGATTTTTCCATCAAGAAAGGAGTGGAAGGATCCTATTTTTACTGAACGCTTCGAAGTATCCATTTTTACGGACGGTTCAAAAATGGATTGTGTGGCAGGGGCGGGAATTTTTTCAACCGACCTCCAAATTGAAGAGTCTATTCGATTACCTAATTCGGCCAGTGTTTTCGTTGCACTGATCTGGGTGGCGGGGCACAGCAGAATTCATGGCAACGAGATGGCTGACGAGCTGGCCAGGAATGGGTCGGCTCTGGTTATCTCAGAGGCAAAGGAGGTTATTGTGCCTCTGAGCTATATCAAGAGCCGCATCTCTCAGCACTGGAAAAATGTGGCTAACAGTGGGTGGAAAAACCTAAAATCCTGTAGGGTCTGCAGGAGTCTGTGGCCCACCTACTGCGCAAAACGCACTGCTTTTCTTATCAAACTAAACAGGAGGGATCTATCTCGACTAACTGCCGTTTACACAGACCACTGGGCCGTGGGAATTCATGCTGCAAGACTAGGACTGGAACACAACATATCTTGTCGTAGTTGTAATTCACCAGATGCAGAAGAAACGGTGGAGCATCTGCTCTGCGATTGCAAAGCACTATGTAGGACCAGAATCAGGCTTCTAGGCAAACCCTGCTTCTGCGGTTTAACAGACATACGTGATATTAACCCACTGCAACTTCTTAAGTTCTTGAACTCCACAGGCTGGGTTTGAGATATATAACCGACTTCTGCTGCTTTCTTTTCGAGCTTTCTTTTCAGGTTTAAATTGCGAGTAGTGGTTTTAAAACGGCACGGATAAGTGCTAATTGGAGTTGTTAAACTCGCCACTTCAACCAACCAACCAGGTAATAATGTACCTTTGTACTATTTAGCATGTCACTGGTCAGTAACAAGAGCAACTTAAATGTAAATCTATTAAATACATCCTAGCGTGTCTCAGTCCTTTGCCCACAAAAGCGGCTATAAATTTTTTTTCTATTCGAAACAGGAAGAGTGGCACCTTTCTGAAATCTTTATTAAATGAGCAATTTTTTTATGTAATGCAAAGTTTTAGCTCAGTACATTTTTTTTCACCAGAGATAGTCAAAGTTGGGGAAGAAAATATCAAAAAGTTAAAAATACCAAAATAGTCCTAATTTTATGATGGTATGGAGAAGCAACTATCTTGAAGTATTTTACATTAAAAATTTACTAAGTATAGCCTGGTTTGTAGATGCAGTTAAAGAAAATACATGAAAAGGCACGTTTTTTTTTTAATTAAAAAAAATGTAAATATTTCAAAAACGGTGACACTTTTACCTGAAAATTTTTTGTTTATCAGAAGGCTAATATATTCATAGTTAAAATAACGTCGACACTAAAGTTAGTTACAGCTTTTTCACATCATTTTCCGTGGAATATGTATCTACTTATTTGGGACTGACAAACTTTAACTTAGAGTGGACTTTATTTAATGTACGAATATGCCCCAATAGTTTTGGAGTCAAATGAAAATTCATTTCCCATGCATATCTATGTAAGTACTCCATTCATTGATAACGTTTTTACATGCATACGGCCAATTCTACAGGAAAGTAAACCAGCCCGATTTTTTCTTTCTTTCAAATATTGAACATATTAGTGATTATTGGTTAGCGAAAAAGTTGTTCAGAACTCCTATTAATACTTTGTCTCCATTGAGAGGTTTATCCATTAAGATTTAATAAATCCAGTTGCTAAATCACAACCGTCTCCATTACCACAACGAGATATGTTTGACGCTCACATTTTTAAATATTTGACGTTTGCTTATGTATTATTTTATAAATACAGTTGCGGACATTGACATACAGACAGATAAAAGGAAGGTACCAAACGGAATTTCATTATATGAATTCTGAATATTATTGGCTTCTTATTCGTGGTAAATATGTATGTATAATATATAGTTTGGAAAGTGTAAAGAATGGTACCATATTCCGAATCATTTTTCCGAGTTTAAGAAAAATTATCAAAACGGTGAAAAACATTTGCGGAAAGAAAAATGTTTGTAGAACTCTCTTATTCATAGGAGGGAACCGAAAATCCAATCGTGGGCCTTTAGCATATCATGAATACGAACTGAGTTCTAGAGGTGCAATGTTATCGAAGCAGAACCATTACCGAAATTTATAAATTTTTTGTCGCAGCGCGTAAATGACTTATAGAATGCGGAGAAGACTCTGTATGATATTACTATAAAACATTTCTTTTAAATTTTTAGTTTTTAAAATAATATTTTCTTAATTTATTACAACCAAAGTTATGTAAATATGTATTACTAATTTTTCTCCCAAACTAACAAAAATATAAAAATCCCTAAAAATACTGAAATTCATGTTTTTATGATAGGCTAGATTTCAATGTCCTCAACTGTATATTGAAAACACAAATGTCATTTGATTTATGGCATGTGAATTTGTGGTTGCCACATCCAACAAATTGTACTTATTGATCAATATTATTGAAGATTTGACGAAGATTTAACTTAAATCTACTGCCTTTCGAGATTTAATTTTATATGGTAAATCTCAAAAGATTTAACGTCAAATCTCGTCAGAGGGCTAAATCTTCATTAAATCTCACAATGGAGACATAGTATAAAGTCGTAATGAAATGTACCGCAAATGTTAAGTGTAACGTAGCTAGTGAAAAACTAAAAAAGTTGTTTTTTGGATAATTAAGTACCCTTTCCAAAAGGATAGTATTGTCGATATCATACTGATTCCAAATGGAAAAAAAGAAATCATAGCTGACTTCGTTGCACAATTACCTAATAAATAAGTGTAACGTGACCAGTGCTTTTCTTTGTATTTTAAAATTTTTTATTGACTTGACAACTATTCTCATTTCATTTTAGCAATAAATAATAACATATATTTAAGAAAGTCTTTTCATGAACAATTGCGTATTGAGCATTATACTGCTAAATTTTAATAACTATTATATTGAAATAAAGCAAAACTAACATCTGTAAAATATCCTTTGAAATCTTTATCTCTTAAGATTTTTACTATATATTTTTCTATAATTCAATAAGATTTTTTGCAACATATAAATTTGATAAGATATCTGCCATTATACATGATTGTGACGATTTTATAGAATCTGACACAAGTCTACACCAGACTATGAAGAGTTTATAATAATAATAATAATAATAATAATAATAATAATAATAATAATAAT